AGAAAAGACAAAGTAAATAACTGATAATTTTGTTGAAAATTACGACTATTGTTGTTTTTGTAATCATGATTCAAAGCATTTTTCCATCTTAAGAGTTAGCGCCACGCACTCCACGATTGTTATTCGGGGATTGTCGATTCATTTATTTTCATTCATTAATGAAGTCGGCCTTTCTTCTCAGTAAAGGGCTATTGTGTTTATATTATAAACAAAATAATACATGGTTGCTTGTAGATATGGAATTTTTTCTTCTCGTGTGCAACTCGACATCTCACTCGTTCGCTGCGCTCACTCGTGAGCTATCGAGTTGAACACTCGAAGAGAAATTTCATATCTACGCGCGTCAATGTATTATTCTCTATTTAGATTACACAAACCTGCGACATACCAGCTTTGCATTTTATATTCGCAGCGATAACATGAATGCACTTTCTCAAATATTTTTTTTTTAACTGAATCATTTCTGACAAAAAGTAAAACACCAACGAAACAAAATCAACGTGTCTTGTACGAAAACTTTTCCATACATTACGAGAAATAGGTACATCACTTTACAAATAACAAATATAACGCGTCCTATAAATTTTTTTTTTCAATTTGTTACGAGCAAATAAGTACATAACTTCTTACAAAGCCAAAATCAACCTGTTTTATGAAAAACCTCTTAACTCGTAACGAGCGACTAACTACGTCAATTTTTACAAAAATAGTCAAAATCTACGCGTTCTATACGAAAACCTCGCAATTCGTTACGTGCAAATAAGAATATCATTTTGACACAAACAATCAAAATCAACGAGTTTTTCACAAAACATTTCAACATTCGTTACAAGTAAATAAGAAAGCTATTTAATTTGTTATGAGCCAATATATACGCTCATCATTCTTGCTAAAAAAAAGACCTGAAATCGACGTGTTTTATACGAAGACTTCTCAATTCGTCACGAAAAATGCATTGAATGGGCAGGGAATAAAAACCGATTTGCACATGGATATGATAGGAATAAAGCAACAGAATATTTTGCATTCAATTTTTTCTGCTTATAGCTATTGACTGTCAGATTCCAGCGGTATTCGTTATTTATTGGCCAGTTTCGATCGGTCGGAAAAGTCAGGTAGTTCTGTTTTTCTATGTCAATGTTTTGAAGTTGTCGGTAGGGCGCTGGTAGGTGTTGCTATCTCTTCAGGATTTCACGGTTTTGAGTTAGTAAACCAATTTTCCAAAGTCAGTCATTGAAAGTTAATAGAACTGTATATCAAACACTGCCGGCGAGGCTGAGTCAACAGACAATTGTGTCCCGCAATATGACCGTCGATATAAGTATGACCAATTCACGGTCTTAAGATTTTAATTTCGGAGTTTCTTTCCTTCCTTTAGGCCTCCCCTAAAGTCCTATGTGACAATGCTATCTTAACGATATCACCTTTTTGCGACATCAACTGAGGAAATTGAGGCAAGATTTCCGCACAGACCCATATGTAATCAGGCATGCAGCTCTTTTGATAAAAAACGAAAAGATACCATATAACACACACAAAAAAAATGTACTGTGGCAAGTAATAAACTTGAAGCAGGCAATTATCGTATTTTCCGAGAAGACGCCATATTTCTGACTCTTGCTTCTAATGTACCTCACTACATAGCATCAAAGCCAAATGGT